TGTGTGAGAGAGAGAGAGAGACGTTATAACAGTGTGGCTGGTGTCAGAGCGTTCTTAGTCATCCTGTACTCATCTGAAAAGATGGCCTGTAAAGTGTTTATGTATTTGAATTTAGTAATTCAGTAACATTTGTACTTATGATCCCTGCTTGTAGCTGCTGTTTATATCACATAGCCATATGCCATATATACATTTAAATGTTCAACAGAGTAGCAAAAAAGAATGCATTCGTTGTGTATCTGCTGTCTTTTTCCCTGTTCTTTGTAAAGGTGTAAAAAATAAAAGAACTTTTTTTTTCCTTCATTACACATAGACCTGCACTTTGTTAAGAGAAGTTTAGCTTCTATGAAAAGCACTTGCCAATTCAAGACTACAGAAAAAAAAATCCTATTATCTAGAAGGTCACATGTCTCCTTTTAAGCTGTGGTTTTGAGAAGTGCAGTTCACTGCTTCAAAGGACATCAGTTCGCTATGCACCATGTGTTGGTTTCTCACTCCTGAATATTATACTCATTTAGCACTCCTACAAGATAGAAATTGCTCACAGTTTTGCAGAGACATTTAAGTTACACAAAATAGAGGTATACGTAGGACTTAGAAAGTACAAAGTATATCTAAGAAGGGCAGAGGTAATGGGGATGTAAATGTAGGTCTAAATTAAATGTAAGGTGCTGTTGAACAGCTAAAGATTTCTCTGTAAGCGTGTTAAAGCTGTTACAGTACAACAAACAGTATAAGCCTCTGCAGTACTTGGGGGAAAAAATGGTATGATGTAAAAATCATCCCCTAATTTCATCACAGGATTTATACATCGCCAATTTATACCCGGATGCTGCTGAGGAAATGACTGTCAGTGGATCATAAGTCTCTTCACATCATCCATCTGCTGGACGAAGTGTGGTACTGCACAGTAGTGAATTGGCCTTGATGTGGTTTCCTTACGCAGTGTCGTCCCAGAGCATTGCGCGTCCCAAAGTGGTTTCTAGGACGGGGTCCCTGACTAAATGAAAAATAACTTCATGTCATTATTATTTCTTTCAGTGGAAGACCATGAGCTCAATGAGAGAATGTGCAGAAATGATTTTGATCAATAGTTTCACTCTTCCCACCTAACTCTCACCTCACCCACAGAATAAATTATGTCTGCCAGTAAAACTCCACATATGGGAATTTATCTGTGTGAGGTAAATGTAGGTAAATACAGAGGGTTTGTGGGAATTTTTGACAAACTTTAGGAACCTCCACTGACAGCTAAATCTGTTTCTTCTGAGTGTATTGGGGGAGTTTTGGTGAATACGCACAAAATAGGTTCTGACTATTAGAGTGCATGGGGCTGTGAGTGCACATGTGAATGTGGATGTATTTCGCCCACATGTCAGTGCAGGGACTTGGTCACACTTTGCTGCCTTCCGACCAGAACAGGGTGTTAGCTTCATCCAGCTGCTAGCACCCTATCTGTCCGCTCCATCAGTGCCAGTTCCCTTTTCTCTCTTTGGGTTTGAAGAGAAGTGACACTTGTGAGGGAAACTGTCATCACAGCTTCATGTCCATATGCCAGATTAAAAAGCCCTGTCATCCATTTCAAAAGTGTGACGGGCTTGCTTCTCTTTTTCCAAGTATGAGAGGTTGATTTCAGAGTATTTTGTATTCTAAGTAGGTTGTTGAGTAAGATTGTATGTTTGCAGAACTTTAAAGGTTAAAATTGAAGTCAGGGTAGTTTGTGGTAATTACACACTGAGGATATTTCCTGAAACATCACTTCTGAACATAAATGAACCATGTAGGGAAAGAGGAATTATACTTTAGAAAGCCATGCTTCTGCCCAAACCGGCCTGCCAGACAGAGTTTACTCAGCCAGTCGAGACAGGAGTCATAAAGCAACAGTGACGTAAGTTCAGTCAAAATGAGAGGCTTTTGGTGACATCTGCTGACTGAATTATAGGATCAATCTGATAGCCAAACATCAAAATGAAATCCATGCTGATGTGTGTTTACGGGAACAACAACAACACTGCATGCTGACGCTGAGTAACCAAAGAATCAACTTAAAGCCCCCCTTCATTCAAAAATGACTTTTTCTTCTTGTTCCTACAGTGTGCTGTTTGAATGCAGTCTGTGCAGAGTTTGACACTCTAGAAGGGATTGTCTTCTCACATTCATCTGCTGAAGTGCGAGTCTGCAAGTTTCCCTTCGTGCTGCTCATTGAACAACAGATTTTTAAGGGTGCGGGCCTTACCAGCAGGTTCTGTCGCGCCCTCACAATAGTCTGGGAATCAGTCTGGTCCCAGGGTATGCAACTCTTTACAGTGTGATCCACCACTGCACATCCACTGAGAATTGGACTTTTCAAGGTGAAGGGAGGAGACAATCATCTTGTGTCCAGCAGGAAAACTCATAGATTCATATATATTTTACAATTTTTAATTAGCTATAAGGAGTGGATGTTTTTTTAAGGATTTAAATGTGTAAATTATACTTTTATTTTATTTTTGTTTGCAGAAAAAACACATCAGACACACGTTATAGTTCTAAGCAGATTATTTCCATATGTGTCTTTTTTTTAAGTCTAAGTTTGAGACTTGAAACGTCAGTACAGGTCAGCTGGACAAACTGAAATTTGAATCTCATATCTATCTGCAGCATCTATTTGTTTTGGTAGCAACTAAAGAGTTCTGTCTACAAATGGAGAAAGACTAAAACACAATTGTAGATAATTGCTTGAAGATCACTTTACACCCAAAATGGAACAAATCAGAATGAATTAAAAGGAAATGCTGAGGCAGAAATATACACAAAGGTGTATCATTCATACTGTGGATGTGTTTTCATTTCAGGTCAGGACGTTGGATGGTGAAATAGCTTGTAATTGTTGCCGCGTTATTCTGTGTAAATCCTGTAGATGGCGCTGTCGAAACAAAATTGATAGAGAAAGAGTGCAGCCAGCGGTTTTGACTGATTAATCCACATGTTAAACTCATCTAATTTCTAAAAGTGCTCCACAGATGAGCGGCCTTCAGTTACAATGCACATTGTAAGACTTTAAAAATGCACGTTACAGTCAGCAGACATGCGGTGAAAGAGGCTCGTGTTCAAAATAACAATAACTTGCTACCTTTGCTGTGACTTACTCAAACCCGGAGGAGCATGTCTGCGCATGCGCACTGCATCGGTTCTAGGCTACGGAGGACACCGCGGAAAAAACGTAGCAGCAGCAGCAGCACCACAAACCCCACGCCGAGATTTCGTCTCCCCGCTGCGCTAAAACTGCGCGACGAAAGCGGCCCACGACTATGCCCGGTGCGGCGTTAAAGTGCGGGACGACCACTTGACAGGCCTGGGCGAGGTCTGAGCGGTTGCCGGGAGGGGAAATACATTTCTTCATATGGGAGAAGCATGCGGGAAATGGTCGGAGGTTGCTGCGTGTGTTCAGACGAGCGAGGCTGGGCTGAGAATCCGCTGGTTTACTGTGATGGACACGGCTGCAGCGTCGCCGTCCACCAAGGTAACATTAGCCGCTGTTAGCGTGAGATTACCGGGGCAGCTGTGGCGGCTGAGCCCGGCGGCTGGAGGCAGCCAGAGGTGCTGGTGGGTCGCTGGATTTCTAGGCAGGTCTGCCGCTGCCTACGTGCGTGTTTGTGTGTTGATGTGTGTGGGAGGGGTAAGTGTGCTGTTTGTTGTTTCCTCTCTGCACACATGATTAAACACACAGGGCCAAGCAGAGTCTTAATGGCACTTCAGGTCCGTGTTTGTGTGTGTTTGTGTGGGTGTGTGTGTGTGTGACTGTCTGGCCCGGTTGGATTCACGACATACTGCAAGAGGCGTGTTTTTGCGACAAAACTGCCCCGGCGAGGCCCGCCGGTCTGGACACTGTGTTACCTTGTGTCCACTTGCTTGGTTGCTTTAATGAGACTAACAAGGAGAGCAGATAACTTGCAGATGAATATTTCTGAGCAGAAATCTCCCCCCCGCCCCCTGTCACTGTTGGACCAACTCATGGAGGCTGCTGCAGGTTTCAGCCTGGCTGACTTCACTCTGCCTTCAGCTGCTGGTTCATTTTTAAAAGTAGAGATGGTTTTGCCTCTTAAAGTCAGCTCAAAAGTGCCGTAAAATGTCAGAAAGATTAGTTTAAAGTTGAGTTTAGAGCTGTCTTCACAAGTGGATTACAAATGTCTTATTTGAAGGATTAGAACAGCACTTAACATTACTGACAACACAATATGGAAAAATGCATTATTATGAAAAATGATGAGGATTAAAAAAAGTGAATGAGACAAAGTAAAAGAGGAATTCTGGAGTATGCATAGTCTTGTATGTGTTGGAAAATTGCAGAGGACTGTGTTTCAAAAATAGTATCATAAACCTGTGTGTGTGTGT